ATTTTAATGATATATTATTTGACAAACACATTAATTCTATATATAATATATAAAGGTGAATATACCTTAAAATATATGCTACATATTTTTGGAATAATAAATATATCAGAATAAAAATAAATTATTACTTAACAAAATATAACATCATTGTATAGTTATTAAGAATAATCAATGGTGATGCATTAAATAAATATATTCGGTATAAGTTCATGAATATTCAGAGATTACATTATGAAATATTTACTGATTTAATTAATAAGGATAAATTATATTAACCTATATATATTTTATCTTAAAAATATTTCTATTTCTTCATTGTATTCTTTAAATTAACTTATAAATTGACATATGTACTAATTTGAATAATGTAAATCCTGTGGAAATTATGTTCATTGAACAAATATTACAAAGATTCCCAAAGAGTCTCATAAAGTATACTACATTCACCTTGCTTGCAATATTCACGTATTCCATTACTGTAAGTATAAAATAAGGTTGAGTATAATTTTAAACAAAAAAATTTATAACATTCATAAAAAAACAGTTATCTAATTGATATAATCATATTTTTAAATATAAAAAAATATATCAAAAAAAAAAAAATATAATGATGATAAACCATTTAACATGAAACAACAAATACGAAAACAGAATAATGAAGAAAAAAATAAAACCTAAATCCTGAATATTAAACGCAAATAACGAAAGCCCAAAAAATAAAAACAAATCATTAAGCAGGTAAAAATATTGTTATAAATATTCATTAATTTTTAAAAGTAATTATTAAAATATAAGCAAAAACTCTAAAAGTTAAACATTAAACCTAACGCTAAATCAGATATGAATCATTATTAAAGCATAAAGAGTATAATTTTAATTCATATAACTCTCATAGAAAACATATATGCATATGACAACAAAAGTTATTTTACTTGAATAACTTCCAATAAATATAACATATAAATCTATTATGTTATAATTTCTTCATTTTTAGGTCTATTCACTAAATATATTATTAATATTTTATTAGGAACGACAAAGTAGATACAAGAACAAGGAATGCGATTAAAATGATATGATATGTGAACAATAATTATGGTTTGTTTTACCTACATTTAATTTTTTTGGAAATTATATTACATGTATATTAATTACTTATGTACAATGTAATATTCATGTAAATTAAATTATAAGCATGCTTTTATATCTAGATTATATATGATAATTCAAAAATATTATGTTCTTAATTTAAATATATTTTTAAAAAAAAACTAAAAATCATTATTTTTAATTTATTAATAAGCACACACATATCCTTGAAGAATAAGAAAATAGTTTTAAGTTTAAAATATATTTATTTCTATTTGAACATTATATATAATTTTTTAAAATACACATGGGTTAATCTTTTATTTAAGTAAATATACTTATGTGTCAATTAACATATTCTATATTTACACATGTCATCATTATCATAGATAGGTTTTGTAAGATTTCGTATGGATATTAATTATTTAAAATTTCTCATATTTCATATATTATAAAATGTAAAAATGGCTAAAAAACAACCGCAGGCGAGGATACACTTAAATTTACTCTTATTGCAGTATATATGTACATTAATATATATTCTGCACCAAATAATTTACAATAGAACACATATAATATTAATGAATAACTAAATGTTTATGTTTTTCTTTTTTTCATCTTAACTTTTCAGAGTTTTAGTGAAAATGATTTAAATTCTGTTAAATTTTATAGTATGATGAATAATAATTCTTTGGAATTAAGGAATCCACGTTTAACATACTGTAGAAATTTTTCTTATAATTTCGATAATTTAGACAAAATTAAAGAACTTTGTTTAAAATATTTAAATTATTTAATATATCTAAACATAAAAAGGAGTAATTATAATTACAATAAAATTATTTGCAATTTATTATCATTTTGGCTATATGAAAAACTGTCAGAAACACTTAAAGATGAAAATATGCGTATTATAGCATTCGGTGATATTCAACGAATGTGGAGTTATGTTTATAACATTAGGAGTAAATCAAGTAATTTTAAATGTGTACCATATGATTCTATTGTTAGATATTACCATTATAGAGAAAATGCTAAAAAACTCTATGATTACTATTTCGATTTTAATTACCTTTATCATATCTCTAGGAAATGTGATGCTAGCTGTACGGAATTATGCATGTACCTCAATAAAATAAAAGAGGCATATGATTATTTTAATGTTCCCTGTAATAATGGTAAAAAAACTTATTGTCCTGTTTTTGTGAAAAAAAATGAAGATTACGATCCAAAAAAATTGCTTCAAAGGGCTTCTTGTATGGGATATACTAATGAACATCATGATGAATCAGATACAACTAAGGAAAAGCGATTGATGGATCAAGAAGAAGAACCATTAGCTCATAATGAGTTAATGACAGAGGATTCTTCTGATCTTAGTGACCTAATAAGTGTCGAACCAAATCCTATAATTACATTTCGTAATTCTCTTTTAGGATTAGTCCTATTATCTATGTTATTTGGTCTTTTATATAAAGTATATGAAAATTACATTAATTTATATAAATTTTATAAATTACTTAGTAAATTATTTCTACATTTATATTATATAATAAAAGAATTAATTGTATATATTATTTATTATTCCTAAATATACAAGTTTACACCTATAGGAAAACAGTTTCAAAATAA